AAAGTAAAATCCTCAGCAAAGTGTTATTTGAGAATAGTTTATCCTCAGCGACTCATCAGAGGAGCCTCATGTGAAGCATGCCGACTCTAAAAGGGATTCAATAACAACAGTTACCACAATTTAGGTCTCAGCTAACTCATTAGTATGGTCAATTCTACATGCCTCGCTTCCTTTGGCCGTCACCTATAGAGTAGTGCAATGATTAGATTATTACAGATAATAATCTCTGGGGCAAACAATGTTTATGTTACTCACACGTTTTGTTCAGCAGGATAGTCTCCACATGTTAACAACACTTTATGATTTTTGAAGTAAAAAGCTAACGTTAGGCTACAAAGGAACTACAGCACGGTCACATGACTTCACGTCACCACCGCTAAGCTAAAGGCGGCTAATGTTGGGCGTGATGACGTTTAGTCGTCTCATTTAGACACTTGTTAGCAACCTCCGTTTTGAATGCACCAGTGGGGTATTTACTGATGTATTTTGTGTTGTAGAATACAATTCTCCTCAGCTTGTGTTAAACACGGACCTTATTTCAGAATAACAACCAAAAACACTTTTCTTTTAAAGGTCACCTATTATGCAAAATCCACTTGTTCCTGTCTTTTCTACATCAACATGTGTCCCCTCTGTGTAAAGAGATTCTGAAAGTTTCAGGAAAAAAGATTCTCTCACTTTTTGTCCTGATCCATTTATATAAAAACCTGTCTGAAAATGAGCTGATCAGATTTTCACACCAAGTACTTTGCCGTACTTAGTTGCAGTACTTAGTCCCGCCGAACTCTTTAGCCCCGGAACTGTCCTAGTAAATCGTGTTCACACCGGAATAAGTCCCTGAGGGAGGATTACGCAAATGAAGCCGCTGACGTCACTTCTTCTTCTTCTGCTTTGGGTTTACTGGCAGGCCGCAAACAACTTCACGGCGTATACTGCCACCCGAAGTCCCAGGTAAAGCGCCAGAAGCGCAGACACCTCCTCATCATTCCACCGCTCCCACATTTTATTTTGTGTTGCCATAAGTTAGTCTCTCTCCGTTGGTGCGCTGGGCTAATGCTAATGCTAATAATGCTAATGCACTATTACTTCACAAAACTTTTCTGAGTTTTACGGGGCGTGGTTTGCAAATCACCCAGCCAATCAGAAATGTGAACCTTTTCCTCGCCAGGAAAGTACCACCTCTCTAGCAGGGGGTGAAAACGGGGTGAAAAGGTTCGCATGAACTAGGTTCTAGTTCCAGATCTTTTTGGTGTGAACACAAAATCCCAAGAACTATCAGTATTCCTGGGAAAAGTACTCCGGTGTGAAAGCGCCTATTGGCTTGTGTAACCATTAGCCAATCACCAACCAAGGTAACCCCCCCCACCTTATCACCTGAATCTCCTCCTAGAGCACCATTGTGTTCTTTTTAACCAAATATCTCTCAGAGGGGCGTGGGGAGTGGCTCCTTATTTTCATCTAAAGTAACAGACAGAGAATCAGCACTTTGGAAACAGGGCTGAAACAGAGGGGATTATGGGATGCTACAATGATCTGTTTGGTATTTCGAGCATGTTTTCTATATATCTGAGACCTATAATATATTGATGAAAACCACCTTTAAAACCCATTGACTTCTAGTGTGGTCCAATGATCATAATTTCCAGGTTTTAGAATTCATTACCCATTACTTCACCAATGATGACTTTGAGCTAGCTAATAGATCATTATCTAAGGGCACAGCAGAAGGACACAAGGCAGTGCACTAAGCAAAGTACCGAATTACTGTAGGACACAGCCAATATGGAGTGCTGAATGTACAGTACAATATTCCTGATTCATCAATGGTTATTAGTCATTACTTCCAGGAAGTCGTTTCATCCAGTTGGCTGATTAATCTCATCTGTCTCCAGAACTGAGACATTTAGAGCAGAAGAATCCAGATTTCATGCTGATGTAAACAGTCACATCATCATAATGTAAAGCACACACACACCTGCTTAACATTTATGAAATGTGCGACTATAAATCACATGCAATTTGCCATTTGAATTATTGCAGCTGCAGCATATCATGCAGACAAATCCACAAATCCCACACTGCAACAATCCCAACTCTAACACGAGGAACAAGAAGAGGCAGAAATTATATTACAATGACGAATGTTGGTCTGAATATAAAACAGCAGAGTATTAACAAATGTATGCAGATAACTAAAGGATTACTGTTGGCTTGTGGTTTATGAAAATGATACCAGTGTTGGTGATTTGAGATCCGCTGTGCCATGACCTCTCTATCGTTGGTACTCATATTGTATAATAAAAGAGCCATCATGTCTCTGTTATAGTCCTTCAGTGTGTTTCTGCTGACGAGGTCCTACAGGAAGATTGCCTCTTGCAGGAAGATATCATTTATGCTTTGACTTTATTATGCTGTAACAGTAAATAACACATGATATATGAAAGGTGGGAACACAGCCGGGTTTATTTCTGACCATATCTTTGGGTTGTGAAGTACATTTCAGATATCAGCGCCAATTTAAGTGGATTTTTTTATGCCACGCTAGCAATGCTGGTCGCTCCAACGGTCCATCGCTTTGGTTCAAATGTGAATATCTCGACAATTGTTTGATGAATCGGCATGAACTTTGGTCGAGATATTCATGTTCCTCTAAATAGGAATCTTACTGACTCTCAGGATCCTATGACTTTTCCAAATGTTATCCTCATGTGGCTTACATATGTGTTTTTAAGTGAAAAGTCTCATTTAAATATGGTGGATATCATCGTCTGTACTCTTGAAATGGAATTAGCTTTTAGTGTTTTTCTGTCTTTTGTTATTTTATTTGATAAAGTGGTATTTGAATAAGGAAAATCAGCCTCCTTTTTGCATTTATTACTTCCAATGTATCTTACTACATCACTTTTTACATCAGTTTATTGCCCACTTATGAATGCTCACTTGAGAAGGGTTGAAGGATTGAGAGAATATTTAAGTCCAATCTGTCCTCTTTTGTATATTTTGTTTATGACACACAGCAGAAACATCAGAAATATGAAGCCTGGTTCATTAGTTGTGCGTTTTGGTTTGATTTGTGACAGGATGCTGGGCTCCATCAGGCGGCTGCACACGGGCGTCGCTGAGCGAGACTTCTGACAGGTGGTGTCACTCCTACGCGCCGCGAGCCGCTCAACCAGGCGGTGCAGATGGTGCGCAGCGAGCCGTGTGCCAACAGTGGTTGCTTTGGAGACACGGATAAAAAAAATCATATTCCTTCGTCACTTGTAGCACTTCATCTACACTGAAAATGAAACGATAATTTGTATTAAAGGTTTTATGTCAACAAATTTCACATAACTGTTTTAGGAAAGTTGAAAGCAATTTGATGGGATGCTGCAATGATCTGTTTGGTGTTTCAGCCAAACACTTCAGAGACATGTTTTGTATATATCTGAGACCTATAATATATTGATGAAAAACAGTGTAATAGGGGACCTTTAAGTTCAACCTACATTTTTGTAAACCTAAGACAGTTATGTGAAATCTCTTGACATACTGTAGTACATTTAATTAAAGTCCAACGTTTCAGTTTTTGTTATTATATTTACAACACAAATAGGAAAATATATTTTTGTGTGAAGTAGGACAAAAAGAATCACTGAGCATCACACTGCTGACAACAAAGGCTTGTAATTCATGTGAACTGAAGACAAAATGTGTAGTTACAGTATGTACATTACATTTCACAGAGAACCAAGAATGGATGGAAATGATCAAATCAACGTGACGGTCCAACATGCGGTGTCCAAGAAAAAAGAAATCGGCATGTGAATTGAATACCTTTTTCACAAAATCAATAAAAGATCGAGACAGAGAAGTCCTGAAAGCACAAAGAGTGAAATAGTGTAAACTGATAAGATAATACATGTTACTATAAAAGTATTGGGAATAAACGCTCATGTCACAGAAAAATGTTCTACTTGTGGTTGGATATATGACATTGAACACTGAAATGTAACAGTTAACGGGTGACTGTAAATGTCAAATAAGTGGTTTGATATTTTGGGGAATACTCTCGTTCACTTTCTCATTAGAAGTAAGACAATTAATGTGAAGCTACAACCAGCAGCAGATTTGCTTAGCTTAGCATAAACACTGTGAACAGAGGGAAACAGCTAGAAATCGTAGAAGTGTTAAAAAGGATATGTACTGGAAATCTCTTTGTTCGGCCAAGAAATGGCTATTGCACGTTTTACATTTGTGTTTATATATGAGTTTACCAAATGGGATTAAAAAGGTTGAAAGTTAGCTAGAACGCAAAGAAGAATATTTCCAAAAAAGTCTAAATAATCCCTTCAATATTGGCTGTGGATGACAGAACAACACCTCAACAAGGAGGAGACGTTTATAAAATGCTGGTATGGATTTCCTCCGCTTTGAAAGTTACTGTTGGACAACTGAACTCAGTGTTTAACCCCGACTGGAGCAAAGACTCAGCAGTACCGGTGTCCACTACAAAAGAACCTGAAAACAGTCAATGGCTCCAAAACGAATTAAAGTAAGACTTCAAGATTTTAGGGAATACGCTAAAATGTTTTCCCTTGCCTTCACTTTTTATGCTAGGCTAAGCTCAGCTAATTGACTGCTGGCATTAGACCTCCTTTTCTGTAATTTAACATGATGAGGTATTTTTGTAGGGGGGGATAATAGGTGGAGGCAGATTAAGAAAAGTGCTACCATTCTTCTCATCTAACTCTCTGCAAGAAAGGGAATAAGCTAAATTTCCCAAAATGTTGAACAGTCGTTTCAATCTAGTTTCATTGCAAATCATTCCATAAACTCAGAGTCTATGCTTACATGATAATATTTGTCCTTGTGCAGATTGACAGGCGACTGTAATAAGAGTAAAATAATGATTAGAGTCTTCGTCAGCTGTCTTGTCCATTAGCAAAACATTGAATTACAGCGACCCCATAACCTAAAGCAGTAAGTATAAGCAGTAAATTCTCTCTCATAAACAATACCGCAAAGACGTACAATGTCCCAGCTCTTCATAGAGCAGAGATACAGTTCAGTAAAGTCTTTGTAAAATGCATCTTGTAGTTAAATCCTCGTGACTGTGAATCTGTCTCTTTCATCAAAGTCTCGCTATGATAAAAAAAAAAGTGTAATATTATGTTCTTCACATAAAGAAATGACACAGACGTGTGTTTAAAACAAAACACCAGTGCATTAGTTGACATAGTAAAGCCAGTAGATGACGTTGAAGAGGGAGAAGCTGAAGGGGAATATTATCCGTGACATTCTGTCGATAGCGTTCACATCCGTCAGGTCTGGGATTTTGATTTTGAGCTGAGAGGTTCTTCTCTGCAGACGCGCTCTCCTCGAATATACGTTCCTCTCCAGGCTGGAGCGTGGTTCGCTCAGCTTCCTGTTCTGGACCCCAGAGTTGTCGAACACCATGGAAGAAGAGTTGTGGGTCTCGCACACCCTGGTGGTGATCTCATTCCCTCCCACCTCGTTGTGGATCTCCAAGGTTGTCAGTAAAATGTTCCCCTGGGAGTCGACCTGAGCACAACAGACAGGAGCGCAGTTAAAAAATGAGGCTGCGGTGACTAATGACACATGTGCAGCGAGCGTCGAGCCGCCGCCGTCTCGCAGGCTGACGGATTATGGCCTCCAGAACCAGGTTTCCTGTCCCAAAGTTAAATCACTTCTAAGCTCAAGGTTGGCTGTAATACTAATGTCATGACAGCTACTGCTTCCCACACAAAAACACACTGAAAAACATCTATAAATCATTCAGACATGGTGGCAAAAATAGAAGCACAATATGTACACAGTCATCGAACAGCGTGGTTACGAGACATGAGAGGAAGTGACAGGGTGAATATTTATTTACTTACTCTTACTAGTCATTTTCTATGCTAAGGCCCATATCAGACCTCATGTTAATGTTGGACTGGGAGATAGTTTGAATAAAAATATATGATAGTTTATCGTCTGTCAATGGAATCTTATAGTCGTGATTCGGTTTCATTGATAAATTGATAAAAACAATTATTTGAAAGTGAATTCACCAATGTATAGTTTACAGGCAAAAGTCAAACTCAGTAAATACTTTCATTCTTATTTGCTTGTGTGAAAAAGTCTACTTTATTTAGCTAAGATTTTATTCCTATGGCGCTGTGGATAAGATTAGATTGAAATAATTGCAATTTTGTATTACAATTCTAATCCCTTTTATGATACAGCTAGCTGCGACTTTACTTAAATAATAATAATAATAATAAAACTGCAAACATATTTCATGTTTTAATCATGGCTGGACAAACAAATGATTTGTCCCTTGTCTTTAGACTTTTGTTATTATTTTTCTAAAGTAAGCATTTGGGTACTCCAAAAAGGGGCAGGACTTCCCTCGTTGTTTAATATGTCTCTGTTCAGTAGTTTGGTTGCATTTTTGTTACACTTAAAGACAATAAAACACTACAAATGTATTAAAGAGGATGATATTCTTATGATATGGTGATTCTGACAGAAATGGCAGGTTAAGATGTGATGAAATATGTTGTTTTTGTCACACATTTGACAGATGTGACACCACAGGCAGTGACAGACACTCACCCTGCGTGAGGGGCGCCGCCCGTGAACCTGATTGGACTGTTTTACAGACGAAGACTTGCAATTGCCTCCTTCCAGAAGGGACTATCCAGGAGAAACACAAAGAGATACCCCTCTGTCTGAGCTTTGGTCAGGTGTATTCAGGTGAGAATCATTACGTTAAGTACACGGGGAGGAGAAGGAAGTTGTTCCACTGTATCGACCAGAAATGTCCAGTGTTGACAATTCATTTCATGGCTAGATATTTTGGGTACAACACATATTGTTCTTGGATATGAAAGTGATTCTGAGAAACCTAAAGCTGTGAATTGTGCAACTAACCATCTAGCCAGGTGCCAAATTAGGTACTAATGTTTATATTAGGAATTGACCCCAAAGCAGATCAATTCCTTTACTTAATTAACCAACAAATTATCATATGGTGACTTCTTACGTTTTAGAAGTTATTCCTAATTTATTCTGCGCTCACTCACATATGCCAAATTTCATTTACTGCTCGTAACATGCATACAGTCTTTTCTAAATAAGCACATACACAATGATCACTTAGGTTGCCCGAATTTTCAAGTTAAAGGTGGGGTAGGTAAGTTTGAGAAGCCGACTCGAGATACACTTTTTGTTATATTCCATGGAATGCTCTTAACATCCCGATAGCAATGAATATCTTAAGTGCTTTGACAACAAATCCATAAATAAATGTAATCTGTGGAAGCCGTAGTACTGTAAAAAGCACGACCAATCATTTTAGCCGGCCCGGCTAAAATAACTGGATGGCCTACCTGCCTGTCAGCTTTCCATTGGGGCACAAACTTATCTCGTGCCCTCATTGGTCATGTGCGCGTTCGTGTGTGTTGGAGGAGGGGCTCTGTAAGGAAGTGGCAGATTTTTTCCGGCTGTGTATTTTCAAATTCTAGCGATCTCGAGCTGGTTTCTCCAAAATTACCTACCCCACCTTTAAGTCCATGACACAGAGTATCAAAAGTCAATGGTTTCTTATTTATGATCGGTAAAAAGGTTGCTAACCACTCTTAAAAACAATTTTTCTGTTCTTATCTTTGGGAAGTTAAGAGATTGTAACCTGACTTTCTGGTGTTTTAAAAATGATTCTTACCCTGGGTCTGTCTAAATTCTCTCGGTCATTGTTGGCCTTCTGCGCCCTCTCCGCCAGTCTCTTCTGCATCTGAGGGCCTCTTCCAAAGAAGATGTAGTTCACGAAGGCATATTCCAGCAGAGCGAGGAAGACGAACACGAAGCAGCCCATCAGGTACATGTCTATGGCTTTCACGTACGGGATCTTGGGCAGAGTCTCTCTCAGATGGGTGTTGATGGTAGTCATGGTCAGGACAGTGGTGATCCCTGGAGGAAAATGAGACAAAGAATTGACTAAGAATCACCCGATTGTAAATGAAAAGACCAAAATTAACCCGGAAATACAAAAAAATTAGGTCGTGAAAAAATACAGATGATGTTTAACCATAAGACGATTATCAAGATCTAAACATTGTAAGTATAACCTGGTTAAAAATACTTTGAATTTTGGTTTTTGTTAAAGTTATATTTTATTCATTGTTCAAACGCTCATGCAATACACTCCAACACATTTTCTTTTAGCATCAATATATTTTCAAATTCTGATTTGAACACACCAAAGTCAGAAGAAAAACTGGATTCTAGCCATGAAATGAAACCTGCCAGAAGTGATGAAAACAAAATACAGCGTGTGCTGGCTCTTATAGACATTTTAAGAGAGAGCACTGAGGTACTATCAAAGTCTCAACACAAAACATTTCTATCAGCCGAGGTTCTCCATTAAACCTGATCATAAAATCTAAGGATAAAGCCTCGAAAAGGGTTCAGATGAAAGTTTGTTGATGCCTCTCCTTATCGAGTTTGATGACTTTATCTAGCAGGAAGTGAACAGACTCAGCAGATGCAGGATAAACAGCAGTGTAGCAGTTCTCTCGATAATGTGCACCATCAACAGTAAATGTGTCTGAGTTGTTTTTGTGTCTCCTGGATGGCTCACCGACCTGGACGGTGTGTCTATTTCTGTCCACTCAGACTTACGTAATTTAACGAAAAACCGTTGCTCTGTACAGTGAGGTACAGTGTGTTCGGGGGTGTTAAGAGCACTGCATTGATTTCTGCAGAACAAAGAGAAGAGCAAGAATCTAAACTCAGAGGAGACGGTTACTCAACCAAGACCTGAAGATTTTATATAATATAGAAATATAATACATATATAGTTCACTGTTTTCTCTGACGTAACATCGGCTAAAGCAGTGGTTCTCAAACTTTTTCTGTCAGGCCCCCCCTTTGGAGAAAAAAAAAAGTTGTGTCCCCCCAACACAAATAGTCAGGCTCAGTGGCGGCGCCAGAGATTTATTTTGGGGGTGCTGTAGGGTAGCTTGACGTTTGATAGACGGTGCTCAAACATTTAGGGTTTCCCATTAATCAGCACCTTGCTGTCAGACGGACAATTCTGATGGAAACTGAAGCTGTTTTCGGAAATTTCGGAAAATCCACCAGAATCCATTGAGAAGAACCGTAATCTTACCTTGCAGTTGCTGGTCTACAGTTGCCTCAATCACTTAGTTACATTGTGTTATTAGACTTTTGTGTTTTACGGGGGTTAGATAGTACTCAACAAAGTCAACCAATAGTGTAGTAAGGGTTAGGGTTAGGGTAAGACTGTAACTGCACAATCTGAACCATCCCTCTAAAGTCATTTTCTACTGCTTACACATGTTTTTATTGTAAGTTGCTATGGATAAAAGCATCAGCAAAAGGAAATGTAATAATGCTGTTAGAGGTTTTAATATGTGTACTGCAAGTGTTCCTCAGGGGTACCGAAACTACCATAATGGCAGAGAGAATGGAAACCTGTGATTGAATTAGGATAATAACTGTAAATGCTCTCTTACTGCATAGACCTGAAACCTGAACGCGTCCGACCTTAAGGAGATTTCAATCGGAAAACCTTCCTCAAAATGTATCACATGAATCTTTACGTCACATAATCTACACAGCTGAATGCTGCAATAACAGGCTCTTTCTTACAAACACATGATAAATGAGGATTCCCATTAAGGCGGAGGTGAATGCATTAGAGATGGCGGGGTGTTTTCCAGAGGTGAACTGAGCCACCTCTTTGTTTCTGTCCTCAGGCCAAAGGGAAAGTCTTAGATCTCCTAATACATCACACGAACGTAACACACCATAAAAGGTTCGTATTTAAAACTAAAGTGTAAAAAGAGGTCAAAAATGCATAAAAAGCATCTTGTTTTTTTGGAATGGCCATTAAACTAATACTAGGGCTGAAATAATACTTGGGTTGTGGTGCTGAAACATAAATGCAGGGACACTCAAGCAACGTGGCTAATCTGGCTATGTTGAAGCATAGTCATTACCCGCCCTGCTGCCAGTGATTGGGTAGAACCGTTATGAAGTGATCTAGCAGCAATCAAAACATTAATAACTTACAATAGAGTGGTGCAGGAATGAGTCCTTAACCCTAAAATGAATCAGCCTTTTACCACTTCTTGTTCACTGGTCTTGAAGTCAATCTTTTTTGTGTGTGTTTTGCTTAGAAGTCTGAAATGATGTCTCTACTCACCGTGCTGTAGTTCCTTTATAACCTAACGTTAGCTTTTTTTTGTTGTCATGAGCAACGTTTTTCACTTAAAAAACACCATTTGATCCTTTGTCAATATAAAATAGATATTGGTGTGGCTTCAACTCTAAAACAATGTCCTTCTCTAAGGCCTTAAATGCATGGGGAACCTTTAGAATACATAATCAAGTTAAACTCTTCATTCGGCTACACACCTCTGAGACTCCTCCCTCACACTGGTAAGGAAAGGGTCACTTCCTGTCGGTTTTATAATCATAAATAAAACAGACTTTTAAAGGTCAGACCCTCTGTTTATCGCCTCTACACCCCCACATATCATCCCCTCAGCTCCCAGAGCGGTAAATCACATGAACTTGACATGATCTTCCACAAATATTCAATCAACTTTACACCATCTCTAAGGGGACAGGATGCCATCAATCATATACATCTTACATCTCACATAACTAGAGTGTGAAATGCCTGGGGTACAGCGATTGTTAATTGCTTGCAAATGTTTAGAAAACTGTGGACATGTGAGTGACGGTGAAGCCATAGAGCGGAGGTCAAACATCGTACCTAATGCAACTCTGGCAGCCGAGGCATCGTAATTTATCCAGAAGGACACCCAGGACAGGATGGTGATGAGGATGGAGGGCATGTAGGTCTGCAGGATGAAGTACCCGATGTTTCTCTTCAGCTTGAAGCTCAGAGACAGTCGAGGGTAGGCACCTGCAGGTAAACATGGAGAAGAAGAAGAAGAAGAAGAGGAATGGAATCCCTCGTTAATTCAAGAACTGGTTTCATCACTTTGAAAACAAGACAAGGGGAGTTCAACTTGCAAATGAACTGATGAAATGTAGCCTTGAGATTATCTGTGTGCATGAAACATCACAATGCAATTTCTGTTAATGCGCCCACACACACACGCCCACACACACACGCACGCACGCACGCGCGCGCACGCACGCACGCACGCACGCACACACACACACACAAAGTTTGACTCGAAATTCACATACTTATATTTCTTGTCGATATATTTGACACCAATGTGACCCCTGTTTGTTAATTACAAGGCTAATATTGAAGCTACATTTAAGCTAATCGGCTGTGGAAAACTGTGCACTGTGGTACATGTTTTCATTGTACAGACATGGGAGTTAGTTAGTTAGTTAGTTAGTTAGAAACTCTATATTTATTGTTGGCTTCAACCTAATTAACATTAATTACTAATATGTCAATAATGCAACTTAAAGAAATAGGTAAAGTGAGGGTGCTATTAACCTTCTCGTCTTACTCTATGCAAGAGAGCAAATGTGAAAAAGTGTATTTCTGAACATTTCCATTGATAATTTTTGCCACCACTCTCACTCCTGTACGATAAATAACAAGGATAATATGTAAGCTAATTAGCTGCTAGCTGCGGTAGCTGTGTGTACTGTGGTTTTAAAGTACAGACATGAGAGTTAGTTGAACATCCCAAACTATTCCTTGAATTTGACTAACTCAGATGATTCAGTACTTAAAACTCTAAAGTTAAAAACATTATGGGATTTGAATCATACCATGACCCCTTTGAACCCACTTCAAGCTAATGATAAAGGAATGGGGCCTGTACTTAAAGGAGTGTAATGTATCATGAGGCCGACAGCATAAATGATTCTCTTATATTACAAACACTCCAGGACAGTGATTATTCCTCCAGGCATGGATAATGTTGGAACATTTCTGAGGAAATAATAGGGCTATTAGAGCTCGTTACAATCAGGGTCAAATCTTGATGCAAATAAACACTAAGGGCTGTCTGCAGACACTTTAACATTTAACAAGGAGCATTACAGGTGCTAAACACTGTATTTTAACCCAGGAGATGCTGTTTGTGTCCCATGTAAAACCAGAGTAAACTCCTCAATGAGTTCCTGTACTGATCTAACGCCACTTCTGTATATATTTTTAAACGGGAAAGCCTATTGTGTACACCGAGTCTGCAGGAAAACAAATTACATCTTCTGATACTTAGGGGCTTCATGTAAAACCTTAAATATCATCCCTAACGCATTTGTACCCACAACCCTTCACCCTTTCATCCCACATCCCTTCAACCATTCACCCGATAAACCTTCCCTCCCTTCATCCCTTCATCGTTCTCTCCCTAAACCACTTCATCCATTTCTCCGTACATTTCAGTTGATCCCTTCCTCTCGGTATCCCTTCATCCCTTCTTCCATACCCCCCCTTTTCCTACATTCCTTCTTCCATTCAATCATCCCTCCCTTCTTTCTTCTCTCCTTTGCTACATTACTTCATATCTCCCTTTCTACATCCCTTCATTCATCCATCCCTTCCTCCCTACTTCCATTCATCCCTCCTTCTCTACATCCAATTACATATGTTATCCAATCATCTCTCTACACCTCCCTTCCTACTTTCTTTCATCCCTACCTCCCTCCTTACATACCTTTGACCTTTCATTCCTCCCTCACTACGTTTTATCCTCTACTCATCCTGCACTTCATCCCTTCATCCCCTATCCCGCCATCCCTTCATTCCTTCAATTCCTTTTCAGAGGATTGGAGAGCTGACCTGTGGAGAAGACGACGTTCCTGGACACCAGCTTGTAGTCGACGATGGAGAACTGAGGGAGCTCGATTCGAGTCACTCCGGTCACTGCGATGTCTCCTCCTTTCCAGTAAAACTCGATGTCATCTGTAGTGTAACCATCTGCAAACCAGCATACAAGATAGGTGTGAATGTCGTGAGTAGGAAAGCAATACAAAATGCAGCCATGTCCTTTTGTTGGATGGCTTGAATAAATAATGTAGTTATATTTGGAAATCTGTCGGCCTAATAGCTACAGTACATCAACAGTGCTAATCATATTCGGCTGTATGTGTTGATGGCATGAGATGTAAATCTTCATGGGGGTGTGTGTGAATGCAGACACACACACTTGCACAGATGCATGGGATTCATAACCGCCAATATTCAGAGGTGGAAGAAGTACTCAGATCCTTTAAAAGTAGAAGTAATGTGGTTTTAGAAAATCAATAGAAGTCCTACATTGAAAATGTTATGCTATGAGTAATGGAGTAAAAGTGGCATTACATAGAACTACTTAAATAAAGTACAAGCATGTGAAAAAGTACAGACAAAGTAGCTGTGAATGGAGAGGCTGCAGAAAGTAATCTCCAGAGATACGACAGCTTAATAAATCCAAGGCGATTCAGCCACCAGTGCACTTTCTGTCTCTGGGAGATGAGGAGTGTGAGAACTCCTTTTTCTTTATGGGAATCACTGCGCTCTTCATATTTCTAAAGCGATGAAAAGGTAAAACTGTCTGCTGTATTTCACTGAGAACAAGATGTGAGGCTTAAACTTACAACTCTCAATTTCCAGAGTGCAGTTCTGCTCGTCCAGCGGGTATCGCCTCAGATCCATCATGCAGGCGGCCGTCGTCGTGATTCTGAGGTATAAGAGACAAGGAAGTCAGATTCGAAGTTCAAATGCTTTATTGTCATATGCACACACAAGGGAGTGGTGCAGTTATCATGTATTTCTGTAATGGACCCTGAAGGCAGCATCTAGCTGGTTCTACCTAGGTACAGTTGAAAAGTGCTAGACTCCTCAAATAATGCAACATACAATACAGAAAATAAGAAATAAAAACGGGCAATAAAGTAGTGACATAATTGTGCAAGAAAGTTGCAGGAAAAAGAAAATATATACATATAAACTAGAATACGATACAACTACATGTAAATGAGTTGCTCTACAGTAGAATATAAAATGTATACTACTGTATGAGGTTTATATAACTTGGTTTCTCTTGTTTTGTCATTTTCAACACATACTGTAATGGAGGAGGAAGCAATATTCAATTTAAAGAGAAGTCCCCCATTATAGTTTCTATAGAAATCATGCATCTCATTTCAAAAGAACAAATCAATTCAGAAACATTCATTATGATGTGTGAAACTCAGACTCTGTCAATTACTGCTAATGGTGCTTCAGGCTTTTCACATCTTTATTGAGAATCCACTCAGAGTTATGCAATATGAGCTCTCTGTATTAGTGCTGAGTGGCTTCAGAAAAACAAATTAAACATTTAGCCACTTTATGCATCTCGGGCAGATTGGATAGCAGTGTGATGAGTCTGAAAGTTGGGAGTTAATGGGACAAAAAAGCATTAGCGAGATTTTCAAAATGTGTAAATAAATGAGTAAATAAATCAGTTTCTCAAAGATGCAATTGTCGTTGGATCAGACTGGAGGGTGCAAAGGAAATCTGGCTAAAACATACAGTAGTTAGTGTTTATAAAGTGTATATTAAATATATTCAACAGCTTATAAGACACATGAATTTGCCTTCAAGTAGTGGCTCCATATTGTCTTGCCTATAATGCATCTTGCAATAATTATAATTTCATTTTTATTTCGCTATTATTATTATTGTTATTATTTCTCATATAATAAGCAAATTATAACCAGGACCATGGCTACATATAAAAGAAAAATATGCAAATGAGGCATTATGTTATGCTACATTTTGGTGATTTTATGAGAAATCTACAGACAAAAATACACAAAGTTATTAAAATAAACTCATAATTGTTGACTTTAGATGTGTTCTTTCCACTAGTCTGAAAGGAGAATGGAGCAAAATAGCCAAAATCAAAGATTGATCAGTGTATGAATATGTTTTTGTCCGTATTGTCAAACCTAAACATATTTGAATCTATCGAGACGAGATTTTGAGTTTGCATTACATGGTGAAGAGTTGCACTGCGGAAATAAGGGTCCTGCAAACTATGTTATCATGTAGAGTAAAATCTTTCCTCACCGGAGGCCGTACAGCACGGTGCCGTCCGGGTGCAGCCGGATCATCCGGTTCTTGACGGTGACTCCGTGGACAAAGGACTTCTTGTCGTTGAGGAAGTAGGTGTCGGGGACCCACAGCTGGTCGGCCACTCGGTTGTCCAGCGTCAGGTTCAGAGGGATGCCCAGGTACGCCAGCCTCTTATCCCTCCAGTACTGCTGGAAGTACATCGTCAGCGTGTAGTCCTGAGGGGGGGGACACAGAAGAATGTACTTATACTTAACCATAAATAAAAGTCAGATGAATGCAATTGTACTGACAAACTTTGGGTATATGACAGCTTGATCAAACACTATTCCTGTTTCAAAATTGTGCTATGTTCAGGATCTTCTGCCGTGCACTGTAAACTTATGATATTAGATTAAATGTACTTTGTTTATCTAAAATTGGGAAATCATTTTGTGAAAGCAGCAACAGATAAACAAGGCACTGAGCTAAAAAAAAAATAATGTATCACTCAACAGTGGAAAGATACATCTCCATAGAATATCTAAAAAAGGTGGAGTGGCACATTATGGAACGAAAGCATATTAAAGTGTGTATACGAATGAAATGTCTTCAGGCCAACAATGTAGACCACACTGAAGCCGGACTCTTTCTAAAATGTGTAAAATACTGGATGTCTGCAGCCGGAGCCCAGGATGGATTTTTGGTAAAAAAAAAGGTGATATTTATAGATGATTATATTTATAGATGGTCAAACAGCTGTGATGCTCATCAGTGTGCCCTAGGTCACCGTATCTCACACCTGTCTCATAACAACCTCTCAGCTGTTCTCTGCACAGCTCTGAACCCTGCAGACACTTCACAATAAACACTTTACTACAATATAGATTTACATTTCTGCAGCCACAGCATCCGCACCGTGCTTCATCTAGTGACCACACAACTACACTGCACATATCAGAGAGATAGATATCTTTTTACCATTGATATGTTAAGATTGTCTCCGTGCCTTAATGTTCAAAAAGCTCTTTATTTTTCTCACACTGCCTGTGCTGCAGCACCTCTCTTCACCCTCTGTCTGAAACCAGAGCCCAGTCTGCTCTGATTGGTTAGCTGGCCGGCTCTGTTGTGATTCGTCAGCCGCTTAGAGATGTCCCGCCCCTAAGCCTACCACGTACAATGTGTTGGAGCGCTAGCCAATAGAAGCCTGAGTGTTACATAGTGATGTCACTATGTTCTGGTAGTAAACAAAGGAGGGTGTTTTGGGAACACAGGGATTTTAGCCTTTGCAGACCATTTACATGCACAGAAACCGATAGATCACACTACAGGAAAGGGAGACCCCCAAATAGCATAATAGGGCCTCTTTAACAACATTTCTTGTAATCAATAATTCAAATTGAAGTGTGGGATACCAAAAGTTTTATACCCGCAATTGATAGAAAGATGGATAAATCAATAGATTAAAAGATACATTTCATTACACATTACCGGCCATACATGCAACGTCATTCAGCTATTTTGAATAATTCATTGTGCACGGAGCTCCACAGGTGTATCCATCAAACAGAAAAGCTTTTAATGGAGCTTTTTACCAGCATGGCTTTGTTTTTGCTGACTAATGTTCTCTTAAATAAATAAGCAGGTCTCAGGAAATAAACAAAAACTTGGCAGTGCAGAAAACGCAGACATTTCAATCCTGTGCTGCAATCGCATATTCAAAACAAAGAGTATTAATAAAAAAACACTTAGATTTGCTTCGGATGTTACGATCAATACAAGGTTTGGTTTCTCACACAAAACGAATAATTAGTCAGAAACTGCTGACTTCATTTTGACAAAATAAAGAATTGCATTATTTGTCTTGACTACTCTGAACACATTTGGATCAACGAGGCGAATGCATCATGACAAACTGTATTTGTGTTTGGGATAAATTACACAATGTGCTTTGACTGACAGTATAATATAACATAATATTGATCCCTATGAATAATTCAGTGTGTGTGTACAGTCAGTATTTATTCTCCGATGTTCAAAAGTCGCTTATAGAGTATTTTGACAGATATTAATGAGACTAAATCTGAATGTGGAGTCAGAGCTTGTTCTGTAATAATCTACTATGGTGGAAAGTAACAAAATATATTAAATTACAGTATTTTAATAGTGTGCTACTTAAGTCTACAATTCCACTGAAAGTCATTAATGATAATATTGAATTGTGTCCCAGCACGATTGAAAATTAACCTTCAGTGCCGACGGTCTAGACTTGAAACTTTGAGTGTTATATTCCATCAAATGGTGATTACATTATAAAGAAACATATCTGATATCCAAAAGCTTTCAGAGGCCATGCCATAGAGGTTTCAAAATCCACCGTCTTTACTCTGATTTGAGGTGTTGCTGTTAGGTGTCGGATATGTAAACCCCAGCAGACAGAAGGAGGTTTGTTTCAGCACCGCAGAGTAAATGAGTCCCAGTGGGAGGACGAGGCTGTCGTGTCCTCTTCGGCTCGGAGAGTTCACGCTCTCGCGCTCAGACACGGTTACTGTGTGCCAGTCAAACATCGTCTATTTCAACCTGACACCCTGACGTCTGCCGGGAGAACAGGAACAGACTGTGTCAGAGAGACACCGTGCAGGAGGAGGGTTTCCATCTCTGCATGAGTCAAATAAAAGATCCCAGGAGAATTAAAAAGTGATCTGTTCTACAATCCGTGTCACTGCTTCCTCCCACACAACCTTGTGAAGCCTTTCATTAAAATGATTTCAGTCATTCCACTAGATATTAACGAGGGAATATACAAAAGCTTTCAGAGACCATCCCATGATAACATGTAAAAGTATTTTTTTTAGAAATGTTCAATAGCAATACTCATTATTTGAAAATGTTTATCTCAAATTCGCCCCGCATTGCTAACCTACAACATAAAAATGCTCATACTTGTATTTGTAAGTACGGAAACAATTTGAGATCATCTGAAGACATTTTCTAGATCTGACCAAAAGCAGAAACAAATGTCAGAATTCTGAGAAAATTCAGACTTTTAATTTCGAAATTCCGATTTTTTTTTTTGTATTCTGAGATTTTCAGAAAAAAATATATTCTAAATCAGTTTTTTTCTAACTTTTTTCTCAGCAAGAAAACAATCAGAATACCGAATTTAAAGTCAGAATATATTAATATTTAAACATTTTCGAAAAACATATTGAAATCCCAAACTCAACGTGGAGAAAAGTTACTGAAACTTACATTTTGTTTTAAATCAGTGGCTCCCTCGGCCTGCTTGTGAACAGCTGGATCTTAGGGCTGTTGGATCGGTCTGACTCATTAACTAACCTCCTTCAATATAAAACTACATCTGGAGGCTTTGGCTCAGTGGATAGTGTGCTGGACTTCCAATCAGGGGATAGCAAGTTCGAGTCCCACTACAGTCAGCATGTCGTTGTGTCCCTGGGCAAGACACTTCACCCCAAATTGCTCCTGTGGGGATTGTCCACAGTACTGAATGTATGTAAGTCGCTTTGGATAAAAGCGTCTAACAAATGACATGTTATGTAATCTGTAGTCTGCGGTTCTTAAGGATAACACTTCCTCCAGGCAGCAGGTGGATAATGTTAAAGTGTCCCAGTGGACGGGGGGGTTAAACACATGATGGATACCTGCTGACTCTCACTGTGGAGACTGAATAATGTCTAACATCACCTCAGGAAGGACGAGCTTTACAGCTTCAGGAGGTTTTTGTACCTAGACAGGTGTTCTAGTGGGGCGATAAAGTCCCAAATAAATACACAGAAACGGCATTTTGTTCCTACAGCTAGAGGTGGGCGAAGTACTTAAAAAGCATAGGTGTCATTTAAGCTTGGGGAAATGTCTCAACCAATTTGTAAAATGGCCAATTTTGTCTAGTCCACTTCCTTTTTAAGCATTATTTGGTAAAGACGTTCTGAAAAATGAATGAAATAAATCAGAAAGGTTTAATTGCACTAGAGAACATGAACAATCTCAATGTCACTGTTTAATTAGTTTTACTGGTAACTAGTAATTGTAACCAAATACATTGTAAGTAACCCTATAGTAAGTAGGAAGTAACCCTCCCAACCCTGTGTGTAACATGGATATCAGGATAAGTTAGAGGTTTCAAAATATCAACAGAATAGAAAAGGACACTAGGCGATTTTCATTTCCAAGCTATAAATACAGGAGTGCAGCAAGTCAAGTGAGAATTGTATTAATACTCTCATTTCCTAGACAACAGCTCTGCAGCCGCCCACACGGTTTATAACGGGCAGCACTGTGCTTGTGTGACCGGCTGTTTGAAAGCTCGCCGCCAACACCTTTACTCCACTTCTCTCTGAGTCTGTTCAAGGAGAAAGACTGAGGCTGGAAAGAAAAAATACTCCGTTCCCCTTCTTACCAACGACAGAAACGGCGGTGACAGCAACGTAACTTAAAATGCAGCAGCACTGATCGAGGTTTTTGTAACTGTCCAAATATGTTCACATTTTCTTCTCCATTAACCAGTCTTTAAACACTGCCAGAGCCCATACTGTGTTCCTGTTAGTGTTTACTTCCTGTTTGTCTTCTTCTGCTGTTCCCATGAGTGTTTACTTCCTGTCGGTCTTCTTCTGCTGTTCCTGTGAGTTTTTACTTCCTGTCTGTCTTTTTAGGAATCCTAAGTGTCCTGCTCTCCACAAATCTAAAAGGATATATTAAAAAAGTATTTCACTGTGTTTTCTGACAGATGAAAACTCTTAGCCCTTAACAACATATGGAATGTCCAAATTGACCAATCAGAATTGAGTATTCAACTTAGTAGCATGATAAAGATATTTAAGTTACCTACAGTACAGTAGTGTATCGAAATGTGTTATTATTATGTCACGCTTGGTGTAATACTGCAGGAAAACAAACAGAAAACATAACCTATTTGGTAGTGTGACTAGCCTGCAGATAATTCACAACTTTCCTGCTCCTCTGGAACAAATGTGGAGAAAGTGTAACACCACTAACAGGATGTTGTGAAAGTAAATGAAAAGAGACAAGAGCTGCACTGCAGATCCACTCTGTCTGCTGGCTTCTCTTACAGCACGACTCTAAACCAAGCACAAACCACTAACACCGATTTACCAAATATAGCCCCTATCTTGTTAACAGATTCAAAGTTGCTGCTAATAACGGACATAATCACACCTGTGCACACATACACTTTGCAGAGCAGTCAATCAGCAGCTTTCGCAAGTCAGGCTGATGATTTAACCCAAGGATTCACCATCAGATGGAGTTTAGTTTGCAGAGCTGCAAAAAAAGATCGTCCGACAGTATATTTTTTGCAAAAATGTCAGAAAATGCCTCTCAAATATGGATCATTTCAGCCAAACCTGCAATAGCTAGAGCTGCAACAATAATCAATTGATTCTTAATTAGTTTCCAACGCAAAAATGCCAACTTCAGTATCTAAAATATGCAGATATCCAGCTTTTCATTCTTTACATATAATATAAAAGCGAATATCTACTGGTTTTGAACTTAACCTTGGACTCTGAGAAACTAGGATCTATGGTTTCCAATATGTTCTTACATTTAACACACCAAACTATTAAACCATTAGGAAATATTCTGCAGGTTAATCGACAATGAAGATAATCATAGTTAAAGCCTTGTGTATAAGGGTAGCTGTATGCATGAATTAAATATGATTATTATAGAATTAGAGCAGCTTATTACATCGTCTATCTACAGGGAGATGAATATTTAAGTATCTCCCAGAACAGTTATCATGCTGAGTTAGACTTTGAAAAACCAGGATGGACATTTTTCACAATTTTTGGATTTACAATTAATCTAGAAAATCATCAAAAGATTACACAATGGAAATATGTGTTAGTGGCCGTAATGACGCCATTGTGTTGAGCTTTGCTTTTTCTCTGCGCCTGCACAACATTTTTTTTCTTCCCATATTACTTTCATCAGACGTCTTTTCCATCAGAGGACTGACACTTCTTCACTCAGACATCTGTGTGACGCCTTCACTGACCTGACTGAACGCAGGACACACCACTCATTGCGCTGTCATTACTCTTCGCTTTTCAAACTGCAATGACGTGGAGAAGCCTGTGACCTAAGATTTTCAACGACATAATGACTCTGTAGCTATGTTAGTTTGACACTAAAGAACCTTGAACCTTGAACCTTGATCTGTTCCTTTATACATCACAATCAGTTTCTTATTACATTTGATTCCTGTGGTTGCAAATTCTTCATTTTCATTTAGCTTAAGTATTGGTTAACTTAGTTCAATATGCTCGTCTTTCGCAATGTCTTATAACGTTTATTGAAGTTGCATTGAAGATAAAAAAAACTATATGTTTTGCAGCACTAGTGGATATATTTGAATATTTAACATGGAACTGTTTCTTTAATGCCTTATGGAAAGGATGCAAACAGCTCCTGGTGTTTTATAATTCACTGTATCAGGAGTAAACAACTTTTAGCACATGCTCAAGTGGCACTGGGTTTGTTTATTTTCAGATGTGTACTTTGCCTCCGGCTATGAGCAGAATATATTTTTCTCTCTGTACCATCTGCATTAACACAGACAGGATGATATGATCGAGAATGAGGAGGCCGAATGCTCGAGTAGAGTAGCTTCTCTCGAGTTAAGAGTGGGCGTGATCACTAAAAATGAAATTAGGCTTGGTTAAGTGCTAAAATTAATTATAGATTATCAAAGCGAATGATATAGAAACAAAATATACATGTTTATTAAACTTTCAATCGAAAGCCGTGCATAAAAAAAGATATTAATTACATAATTAGTTTCAATACTTGATTCTGATTGGTCGATTTGGAAATTCCAGGGGTCTGTTAATTTTTGCTAGCAGACGGTTGTTAAGGTGAGCAGACCGTTACTAAGGAGGATAAAGTGTGCTGTCATATCAATCCGCAGAAAGATGTACGGTCAATTTAAGGTCAGCTGTGGATACGTTTACATTAATGAATACAAAAAAACCAGACAGGGTGATCATGATCCCGACACAAAGGATTATTTAACATGTCAACTAAATCTTTTCAACCATGCAAATATTTTACCAAATCTGAGTCTCAGTTCTCACTGCCCTGCTGGGACCAGATATATTTCATCTTGTCAGGACAGCGAGCCGGAGGATATTTTCTCCTGGTGGCGGGTGATGGAGCATCAGACTCTGTCAGCAGTTCACACCAATGATACATGGCAAACACACACACACACACACACACACACACACACACACACACACACACACACACACACACACACACACACACACACACACACACACACACACACACACACACAGGGAGGTCTATCTTGTTTTATATGTCTGAAGACAGCTCTGAACACACTGACCTCTGTAACTGGATTATTAAATCTTCAGTGCTGGAGTCACACAGCCAGTGAACCATGATGAGCTGAGCCATAACGTGAAACAGCAGATAACCAAACCACTCCAGACGACAAGTTAAAATATATTAACTGCTTTAACATTACACACTGCACCGACAAAAATTCATATTGTAAAGAACATATATGTTGACAATTCTTGTTCTGGATCATACAAATGATTATGAGGGGGAAATGAGAGGACAGAGACTTTTATTTACATAACTTTTTCAGAATAAAGTCAACCTTTCAGTAGATAAGCCAGTAGTTTAATTAATTCTCTGTATTTTAAATGTATTCTCTAAATAGTATTTGCACTCTTTGCTTGACATTATTTGACATTTGTTCACATGTTTGACTCTGTTTCTGACATTGACACTTTATTCTTAACATATTTTACATTATTCTCTGAAAAGTAGATCGCCTTTATTTTTTATATTTAGACTTTATTCTCAAAATACAATTCAAGCAACAAACATATTTGTCTTATTTTTCCCCTTATGTCTTTTACTAATACTCTTCAGTACATCCCACTTTCACATAAGTCACTTTTTTTTAAATAATTTCACCATTTTGTATTTAAATATTGAACTGATTAAACTGTTTTATTTTAGTCAGGTTACCAACATGTAAAAGAAGTCCACACAAGTTCACCCAAACTACAGATGAGACAAACAGGAAATAAAGGGCTTTTATTGAACTCACCATGTTGACTTCTGACACCATGTCTATGCTCGCCACGTCGATACTCATTCCAACGGCAACCGGTTTACCTTCAGATATAAAAAGAAGAAGTTAAGAACCACTGATGGAAAGTAACTAAGAACATTTGGTCAAGTATTGCACCACAGTAAGAGTTTGAGATAGTTGAGGTAAAACAGTAAAAAGGAAATATTGTATATGTCAAATGCTAAGAAATATGAACATAATCAGTTGTGCAATGTAAAAAGGTATATTTAATCAACTACCTGAAGAGGAAAAGGTACATTTATTTGATAACTTTGATTACCTATACATTCTTAATAACATTAACAAATTAAATAATCGGCATAATTAGTACTTACATTGTTGGTACTTAAAGTATACTTTGATAGTGATTATTTTTGCAATTTGGTAAAACTTTTAATATTCGACCTATTTTTACCCACCGAACGACACGTTAAGGTAGATTAAAGTAAACCGTAAGGTACAGAAACAACTCTGGAACACATTTTTGTGAAACACAAGAAAAGTGGGACATACCTCCAAAGTCGGGCCGGAGACGGATATCATATCCTTTCAGCAGTTTGTCCACGGTTTCTTTTACGAAGGACATGTTCCCCGGCTTGTTGGCGCTGAAAAGAGAGAAACAGTGATGGTAACTCTCCGGGGGAACCACCAGTCCGCGCACCTGGTTATGGTGGTTCTAGGGGGGCCGGCAGGGTCCAGTGCCCCTGTAACACTGAGCCTGGACCCCCTGTGGCCCCGAGAACAATATATGATAATACCATTTGTTGAAGTGTGTGAAGTTAACAGGAATGTGTTTTGATTTGTTCTTAATTAAAAAAAATGTTACTAAAATAACATTGCTGAATCAAATACCTACTGTATCATGCTATTCATTTAGCTTTTTGTGGAAAATGTTGAACTATAACTGTTGAAATCTTATCCCCAGTAAAATGTGCCTAAAACCACGACAACACCTCGGTCCCCAGACCAGGCTTAGGAAGTAACGTGATTACATAATCAGGTTAACAAAAAGGTAACTTTTCTCTTACAGTTACATAAAAAAAGATTTATTCAAATTACTTAAATAAAGGATCACATGCAGGATTACAATGATTATTTACATTTTAAAATACAGAACGATATATTACGAAGCACATGAGCACATTCTAACACTTACCCAGTCTTGAGCGAAACCACAGCAGAGTAATTTACTTGAGTATTTTCATTTAATGCTACTTCTACTCCACTTCATTAAAAAAATGTAAAACATGTATTTTTACTGCATTTAATTAACATCTTCTTTAACTTTTAACATAATGCATCTCTAACAAAAATTAAATTGTGGACCAACTCTTTCGGGTACAAAACCCCCCCCCGAAAACCCCCAACAGATTACAAAAAGTAAAATAATATATATCAGAGTTTTTGTTTCATCTACACGTTTTTCTGCAGAATTACCCATTTTACTTTTTACATTTTGCCAATTCGGGAGTTTTACTTAAGTAAGATTTTAAATGGACGTTTACTTGTAACGAAATATTGTTAAATGAATGCATTGGTACTTTTTATTGAATTGGTACTTTTTATTGCATTTGATATAAGTAATCCAAAAGTAACGGAACACAATCTGGTTACATTACTTTTATATTGTGATACTTAGATCAGCTTGCATATTTCATTTTTTACAATATATTATTAAAGTAACCCTGGCTCACCTCTGCACACAACACACCACCACCGCCACCAGGAGCGGCAGAGAGAGCAGGTCCCGCAAATGATCCGATTTTAGCGGTCCCCACATGGCGTGTGTGTGCAACAAAAAAAGTGTACACACTCAGGCAAACCTCCGCTAAACCACGCGGGGCTCCCTCCACATTGCGTCTGCCTATGAAGCCGGTTAACATGCTTCAAGAGGCGGGGGGAGGAGCAGCGTTTACCCGAGAAACAGCCGCCTCAGCCCGGGTCCCCATGGTCAGGTTATCCGCTCTCAAATAAGCATCCACAGGTCCTCCGTGCAAAGTGCTGCAGCAGTGAACATCAAATTATCCCCTCGCAGATCATGTTGTAACTCAGAGAGGTCTCAGTGTGTGAGTTTTCATTATGACTCCTCATGTCAGTGTGCGCGGGGCTATCCTTGGTGATCATTAAAGCCCACGTGACACTCAGCATGTTATTGAAGTGAGTCGTGCACGAGTTCAATTACGTTAAGATGCAGCTCTGAGAGGAGGAGGAGGAGGAGGAGGTGCTTTTACAAGAGACAATATGTGTGTGTGAGACACCTCTGTTTTATTTGATCAGTAGTAATATAGATATATAACAGTAGTATATTTTGTGTACTTTTTAACTTTAAGGTACTTTTACATTCCATTACCTGCTACTTTATACTTCTACTCAACTACATCTCAGAGGCACATACTTTAATACAAAGATATAATCATCAAATAATGGATCATGTATCATTACAAGTTAAAGGGGCTCTGCTTTTTGGGGTTTTCTCTCTTCCCTCCAGAGATAATTATAATTTAGGGATAATTATAATAATGATTTTAAAAAGTCATTGTTGTTGATTCTTTGCATTTGGATTTTGTGTATAAAAATGGTGTCACTCAACTTCAATTGTTTCTGCATAGATTTGTTTACGTCGATGCTATGTCTAGATTTCTCTCTCCTGCTCTCTTTGTGTCTGCTTTAGTGTTTGCAGTAGTGGAAGAAGTTCAATATCACTGCAGGGAAGAGTGAGCTGGAGATTTCCCAAAGACTTTCTCACATACATTCAAGAGAGACACTGCTGGCTCAATTCAAGGAAGGAAACACTTTTGTGGCAGATTCTTTTGCCAAGCTTTGGAGAAACAGAATATCATGTTTAAGACCAACAATTAAAATGACCTGTCCATTGTTATGTTATATTATTGGCCTTTGAAACTGTATCTTTTGTATCTCTTGTTTAATAATTGACTATTTACATAATTTACACATCATACCATTACCACCCCAAACGCTCTTTCTTTACATGAAGTGATTCTTACCTTGTGTCATAGATGGCGTACAGGTTTTTGTTCCCATCGACAGCATTCCTGTTAAAACAAGAGAAGGTGTGATTACTTTATATGTCAGTAGATTGGTACAGAGATTACGTGTTTTGTAGTCAAACCCTGAAGGCAGCATCTCCCTGGTTCAATGGGATTTTGGATTAATACAGAAAATAATGTCTGTGTCAAACACGCATTTATATAAAGGAACTACAGCATGGTTATTTCTGGGTTTTAGGACTCATTCCTGCACCACTATACACTGTCAGGAAACAGAAGGTTTTACACAATCATAAAAGGTTCTCCACTCTTTCAAACCACTCTAGTCTGCACTTGTTTGTATCTTTTAGGATTTGTAAGAAATACTCCTCCATAAGTGACTCAGTTGTGAGTGGGTCGACCCCAATACTGGTGGAGATAAATGCACAATGATGAAATATAGCCTGCTGCAGACGTGTCAGACGTATCGTCTCCTCCTGAAATCTGGACCATTAACCAACCAAAAAAAAAAGGAAAATGAATAGTTGTGTCCCACATACAGTAAGTCAGGCCGACAATAGGCTGCACTATGAAAAGTGGGAGAAAAGTATGAAGAGCTTTTGAGAAAAAAAAAAACTGGCATGCACTCATAAAACGTTTCCTCTCCTAATAGCACCTCAAATCATTATTCCTGTGGATAACTGCTCATGTTTCCGTGCAAAGTAATCAGATTTAGACAATAATTAGATTTTACTGCACAGGGGTATTGTGAGCCGGCTCTGTTGTGATTGGTCAACCGTTTAGAGGTGTCCCGCCCCTTAGCCTATCATATACAATTTGTCAGAGCTATAGCAAATAGAAGCCGACTGTTACATAGTGATGTCACTATGTGGAAGCAAACAAAGGAGTCCAATTGAGGCATTTTGAACGTGGGGGGGGGGGGGGGGGGGGGGGGGATTACTGGCAGTAACATAGGGATTTTAGCCTTGGTAGACCATTTACATGCACCAAAAACGATAACACGCTACAGGAAAGGGGATCCCCAAAAAGAAAATGAAGTATATAGTACTAAGTAAATATATATCACATGCATACATGCAATAAAATGCCATCTTAAACAAAAACCAGAGACCCCATAGAAAGTCCTCTTTCGTTTAAGTGTTGCAAAATGTGTCATAAAGTAAAGATGTGTGGTGCTATTGTTTGTTGGTATTGATCCGATTATGAAAGGATTGTTGTTATGGAGATCCCTCTCATGGTTATCATTGTTATTACTTTTTACTCCCTCTCTCTCTCTCCCCCTCCCTTCCCTATCAGTCTCCCCATCTCTCTCTCTCTCTCTCTCTCTCTCTCTCTCTCTCTCTCTCTCTCTCTCTCTCTCTCTCTCTCTCTCTCGTGCATCACACATCCTCTCTGCACTGCATGCTCTCCCTTCACTCCGCACTTTGCATTGTGCCTCTGGATACCGGATTGGATTTTTCTGCAGAGCTTGCTGTGTGCAGACCCCTCTGAAGGATGGTCAGTCAGCACAAGTGTTGGGAAGCCTTCACATTCCCGCTGCAAGCCCTTTAATCGCACATAAAGCCCGCTGACAGTGGAATTACTCCTCATCTCCTCTTCCTCTGTTCTCTTTGCGCGGATGGCTCCTCACATTTGATGCCAGATACCAGAGTCTGCGTGTGAGATTCAGGGAGAAGTTTGACTGCGCATCGTCTTCTTGTGTGGTAAGCTTTGCAGCACGGCGTGTTACAGGCCGGCGAGGTGTGTGTGTGTGTGGGGTGTGTGTGTGTGTGTGAGTGGGCACAGGGGGGGGGGGTTTATCTGCTGCTGAGGCTGCAGGAGGGGGGACCTTAACCCGGAAAATGTAGCCTCAGAGCTGGGGAATGTGGTGGAGGAATGAGGCGGTGTGTGTGTGCAGGAGTGAGTCGTGAATGGAGGCTGTGCAGCGCGGGGTGCATGCATCATTGTGTGTGTGTGTGTGTGTGTGTGTGTGTGTGTGTGTGTGTGTGTGTGTGTGTGTGTGTGTGTGTGTGTGTGTGTGTGTGTGTGTCTGTGTGAGAGAGAGAGAGAGAGAGAGAGAGAGAGAGAGAGAGAGCGAGAGAGAGAGAGAGAGAGAGAGAGAGAGAGAGAGAGAGAGAGAGAGAGAGAGAGAGAGGATACAGATGTGCAGATATGTGCAGGTGGAGGCATCTCACAGTGTGTCCTTAGACCCTTGCAGGTAAAACTCCCAAAGAAAGCCCCCAGTTAAAGGGGGACATGCTATAAACCTCGGGGAGAGCAGCAGAGGAGGAAACCTCTCCCTGGACAGAAAGGTGCATGCATAGTTTAAAAATATAATACATTTACATTTAAATGTTTCGAATAGATCATGTGCATAATGTAAAAAGAAGAAGAAGAAGAAGTGGATGTAAACAGTCTTCCAGAAAATAAGGTTTACAAGAAAGAAAGGCTGAGAGGAACTTTGCATTATCAGCTAACATCTGTGCAGATGTTCTGTAGTGTTGAGAAAATCCAGAAAATATGTGGCTACACATTTATTTATTTATTATTTGTATTGATTAATCTGCTCATTAGCTTCTTGATTTGGTGTTTAAAATGTCAAAAAGTATTACAAATGTCCATTCAAGTTCCTCACAGTCCAAGTTGATGTCTTTAAATGTCTTGTTTTGTCAGTCCTAAACCCAAAGAAATTCACTTTAATGTGAAATAAAACAGAGACAACATTTTTGCATGAAAATACAGTAAATAGGAGGGAAATACTAGAGCTTGAAGCCTGCATAGAAACATATAGTGTATATTAATAAAAGATATGTCTGATTAAATATTATTTATTTAGTTTCCAAATGTTGTTACATCTATGTTGAAGATATTCTCTTAATGTGAAAAATCACAGAAAAACGAGGCTGAAAACTGAAAAATGACTTTAACACTTATTTGATTATCAATAGTTTGAGATTATTTTTCTGTTGACCGACTCTTCTTTGCATCTAATGTTGTGATACTGCAAAAACATTTGTGCACAATGATTAAAATGTACTGATCAATAAATACTGGTGCTGCCTTTTAAGCTTGCTATAAAGCTGATCAACAATACTATTTTATAAAAAGAAATATGTGTGAATGGATATTATTAATTTAGTGAAACTGCTGCTAGAGGTTCTACAATACAGAACTGCTGCATTCATTTAAATGGTATTAGTTTTTATTTACTGCTGCTCATATAATCCATGTTGATTTGTTTGCCTCTCACACCTTGCCTCTGAGTTTTGAAGTTGTGGAATTGAATAGCCTGTCGGGATAAGTATAGAGTCTTAATTCAGCCAGTTATTGTGAGTTTTTTAACCCGGTGAGGATGTGTTTTTCAGGAATGGGCGATGGAAAGAGCTTCAGCTCTGCAATGAGGCGAGTGTGTGTCTGCGTCCTGATGCTGAGCATCACCTGCCGGCTGAGGTGAGAACTGGAGCTCTGCAGGGAAACTTGAACACACTTTATTTGTATTATTAATCTATTTCTAAATATATTTTCCTACTTTATTTCCAGCTGTGCACTGACTATGTCTCCATGCATGCACACAAATATACATTTGTCAGATTTGGGCGAGACTAAAGGGAACTTCTTTTCACTTTTGGTCAGATCTAAAGCAATATATTCTCATGTGGCCCTAATCCTCTTTCATCTTTCAGACTAGTGGAAGGAAATCAGGCAAAAATCACATTACCTTTTTTTTTTAACGAGACTTTTTTTTACCCAAACGTTTTTATAACATAATGACTTATTTGCATATTTAAATATAACATTCAAGAAAACTTGTCAAAGGAAAAAAAATGGTCCTAAAGAGGACATATTATGTTCATTTTCAGGTTCGTATTAGTAGTATTTTGTGTCTCTACTGGGACATGTCTCCATTTTTAATGTTCAAAAAGCTCTTTATTTTTCTCATACTGCCTGTGCTGCACCACTTCTTTTCACCCTCTGTCTGAAACCAGAGCCCAGTCTGCTCTGATTGGTTAGCTGGCCGGCTCTGTTGTGATTGGTCAACCGCTTAGAGATGTCCCTCCCCTTAGCCTATCACGAACAATGTGTTGGAGCACTAGCCTAATATGTCAGTATGTTCGATTGGATTTTAGCCTTTGCAGAGCATTTAGATGCACAATAACCTATAGAACAGCACACGACAGGAGAGGGAAAACCCCAAGAGCAGAATTAAAGGGTTACATCTTAGTTACAGTTCAATCTTTGTTAAGAGAAATTTGGGTAAGGATGTACGTGTTTTTAACAATTCAGACACCGTTATTGTGTATCACCATATCTGTATAATTTAATCCTGATAAGACTCCATTTAATCTAATTCCTGCGTGAGTTGTGTATTTTCCTAATCATTATCTCTCAACCTCAGCCTCTCCCAGGAAGTAACGGGAACTCACAAAGAGGCCGAACTAAACGACAACATCACCATCTTCACACGCATCCTGGACGGGCTGCTGGACGGATATGACAACAGACTGCGGCCCGGACTGGGAGGTAGGTCCAAATAAAAGCCTCAACACCTCTGATACTTTAGGTAATTAAAACAGTCACACATCTGACAGGTGAGAACTGAAGGTGCCAAATATCCAACCCAGTCTCACGGCATTTCGTGTTATAGTCACAACATTTAATCTATTGAGTCTTTTTTTTTCGTGTCACACAGAACGATTTTAAAAGCAATGTATTTCTATTGGTAGTGTGTTTCGTGCCTGCAACACGTCTTTTTGTCCGGTCGGGTCTTGGAAGACCGGAAGCTGTGGGGTTCATAAAAACATGTTCTTACTCAATATCAAGCCACGATTATTGTTTTTATTTTAAATCGTATAATGTCGGATCCTCAGCTATGGTTTAAGCTCGGTGATTGGATGTTTTAGCCGCAATGCACGTTGGGATATGGTGTTAATGCGATATGAAATCCGAAAAACATTTCGGAGTTTAGGATGGCCGAAGACACTACACTACCCATAATCCGTTTGGGACTACAGTCCCCGTGATTAATCTTCAAGCTCTGTGATTGGATGTTGGAGTGGCAGTGCGCC